CCAAACACCCTTGTTTCGGAGGTTTTCCCACTCCTTGTCAAGGGCGGCCTTAGCCTTGGGGTTGCTGGCAATCTCATCTTTTGATACAAGCCTACCAACTGAAGCGAAAGCTCGGGTGCAACCTTGAACTCAAGTTCCTTGATCTTCTCCTTCACAAGCTCACGAAGCTTTGGCCGGTGTTCTTCCACGGCAGGCACAGCAGCCTTTGGCATTGCTGGCACGGAGAACTTTTGGGAAACGGCTGGAATAATTTCCCAAGTGTTGCCTACAAGCCTAGCTTTTGCAGGAGGGCATTGAGTTACCTCAAGCCGGGCTGTCGAAGCTTTCTTCTTCTTGCCCTTGCTACCAAATGATGGTGCTGGCTTTTCCTCCTGTGCTTTGGCTTTGGCCTTTGCATCCTCCTCTTCAATGATCTGCTTTCGCTCATGGGGTCCTAACATCTTCCACAACTCAGAGTCAATCCCTTCCGGACGTTTTGAACCTTTATAGTTACGTACAATCCGGTGACCATCCCAATGAAAAACCATCTGGAATTATTTCACCTTTGGGGGTCAATTTGAGATCTGGGAATACGGGCTCTGCGGGTGCATCGGGCTCGACATCACTGTCGGCTGGTAGAGGCGTCCCTGGCTCGTATTCATACTCGTCTTGTGGCGGATGCATGCTGGACTCAAGCGGCACAGCTTTGGGAGTCTGCGGAATCACCTGATCCTCAAGGCGGTCGGCTTTGGGTGCCTTCGAGTCAATCAGAGCTTTCAAAGGAAAGATGAAACTCTCAAATGGCAATTCCAGCCTTTTTGTTCTTTGAATTGTCAGCGCACCCCAATTGACATGATAATCTGCAGCTTCCAACTTGGCAACTAAGTATTCACCCTTCCAATCATGACCTGGTTGGATGTAATACCCAAGGAAAACTCCTTCATTTGATGTTGGGGAAAGCTTACCTGCTGTGTTATCTGCCAATTTGGGGTCATTCCAGAACAACACTTAGGCACCAAACGGAATGTGCATTGCAGGGAACTCTTCACCAAACCTGAGTTGCCATGGAGATTCACTGCCGTCAAGCTGGGGGCTTGCATTGATCGCGGTCGCATGATGCTGCATGGCCAATGGCCACATCTTCAATGGAAGTCCGGACTGCAACAAGTTGCTTCGGGCACCTTCCAACATCTGACGAACTTCGCGCTCAGCAAAAGACTTTGATGAATCTACATATTCAATTGATGTCTGATGTCTGTAATCCAAGTCCTTGATGGCCCTGATCAACTCTGGGGAATTGTCAGTATACACAACTTGAACATCATCTTTTGATCCAATGAAGTGATTCAAACCATCAACACAACTTTGTGAATCCTTGGATTGGCTTGGGTAAACATATCGGTATTGGGTATGCAGATCTTTCAACACCAATGCAACTTGCTCCCCCCTGAAACCCTCTTCTACATTCTTCTTGATGATGACATGATCACCAATGATGTGGTCACCAAACACTTCTGTTTCGATTCTCTTCTGACCACCTTTCTTCCTTGCCTGTGGAGCCATCATTCTTGCTCGTTGGCAAGTCCTGCAAAATGGGTTCTTGGGGAAATGAGTGTACTGATGTTGGGTACTTGCAGCTTCGGCCAGAAGATCCTCAGTCTTGCGGCTTCGGATGTACTCCTGCTGGGCATCATCCTCAACCAGCTCATCCAACTGGTCTTCATCTTGGGCTTCGTCCCGTTTGGCTTTTGAGCTCGACTGCGAGGTCGGCATTGCGAACAACTTCCTAAGCTTATCCTTTTGAAATTGATCTTTGGGGTAGACCTTGCAGCTATCATCCAAAACTGGGACATGACCTTCGGTCTTGAGCTGGACGACTTTGTCATCCGGACGAACTAGAATCGGTTTGCCATTGGCAGGCCAGACGAAACTGTAACCCTGATCTACACATCTGGTTCCTACAGAGAGCACAGCTGGGGTGTGATCGAGTACATACGGATGTAACTAAGGAAATCGGGTGCTCGGCTGCACGGCAGTTCTTAGCGCTGACATCCCTTAGCATACCCTTAGAAACAAGATCGGACTCACTTCCTGAATCGACAAGCCAACTGACGCCGGCCTTTGGCGCGGCCGTGGCAATGGATGGAAAACGTCCTACTTTTCTAAGAGCTTTGGGACCGCTGACAAATCTGCATTCTTTGCAAGTGATGTCACAAGTGTCCTCATTCCAACAACAAAACCCACAACTAGGTGCGACATCCGAATCATGGAGCTTCACAGTTTCCTGGAGCTGTCTTGCACGTACCTGAGCTTCATGTTGTTCAACCTTGGAAGATACAGGAACGTCTTCGGCTGTCTTGTACACCTTAGTGAACTCTCTTGGACGGTGCTTGACGGGGACTTGACGACCAACTGCCTTCACCTCGATCACATGTGGGACCTTTCGGAATCTAAGACGCTTCATGCTGACACAGGACTGATCAGAGCACGAAGTTCCTTCGGCTGTTTTCTGGCTATGCAAGCAAACTTCTGGATCAAGCATGGGGCAGCGTTCGACTCCTTGTTCTTCTTCTTGGGAGCGGGTGAATTGGCCCTTTTGGTGTCTTTGGTGGCGGCGGCAGCTGTGTCATCATGTTTATAAAAACATTTTTCACCTCGTCTGCACTTTCCCTGGGCATGATAGATACATGGGGTCTTTGCCATTTCTTCTTTAGACATGTTCTTCCCCTTATCATCTTTGTTGCCGCTTGATGGTGAACGTGTCTTACTTCTTCGGGGTGATTGTGTTCGGGATTTATCTTCCTTTACATGCTTGAATGGACACTTCTTCCCCTTATCGCATTGACCCTTTTGGAACTTGTAACAGATCTTATCACCCTTACTACGTTCCTGTGATCTACCACGACTCGGAGAGCCCTTTCGGTTGCCACGACCATCGCCTTTGGCGGGTGCAGCTTTCGTGTCCTTCGGTCCACCAGCCTTGTTCTTCTCCGCGATGCGGTTCCTGTTCTCCCTCAACCGTTCTCTGTCGATCAAGTTCTTCATGGACTGATGGAGAAAGCCGTCAGACTTCTCATGAGATTTCTCATGGGCACGATCGAACACCTCGATGTCGTACTTCAGCAACTGACTTGGTCGGATCTGTCTCAACAAGATGTCCCTCAACACAGCATCATCGGGGGTGACAGCCATGCCAGCTAAGGTAGCATCCCATTTGTTGATGAATCTTCTAAGATCCTGGACCGTATCACCTACCTTGACAACACCCAAAAGATCTTCTACTCTGTAAAGGCTACCTGCTTCTTCTGATGTTTTGAAGTAGTCCTCAAACATGAGCAGAACATACCTTCCCCTGACCTGGATGCCTTTTCGGGATTGTTGCTCCTTGAAGTTCAGTATCCTAGTAGCGAGGCCCCCTCCGGCTGAGCGCGTGAGCGCTGCTGATAACTTTGTTTCCAGCGTAAGGAACTTCCCAGGATCTTGAAGCTTCTTCTCCAGCTCTTCTCTGGTGCGCTCCTGATCGTACACCTCATTGAGCCAAAGCCATGCTTCATCTGGACGATCTGAGCAACTCTTGACCTCATCCCTGACATGATTCTTCCAAGTCCTATATGATTCCGGAGCTGGCATGTTGTTCAGCTTGATGACCTCGGCTTCCTTAGTCTTTGGCTTATCCTTCTCTTCCTTTGGGTTAAGGCTTTCACCAATTCAATAAGTTCCGAGGGACCCATCACTTGCTGTTGCTTGGTTACGCTCTTAGGGGAATCATTTGGGGGAGTTTTGATAGCTTCACGTGGGAGTCATGAACCCTGAATGCGTCGGCAAATGAGGCTTGTCGTCACCGACAGCTGGCTTCTGTTGGGGAGTGCCTTCTTTGAGCAACTCATCCAACTTGGCTTTTGCCTCTTGGGCCAACACAGCGGATGTCTTCAACTCTAAAACCGGCTCTTCACTACCTCTGGCAGCTTGCGCATCGGGTGCTCTGGGAGTAGCAATATTGAAGTGAGGCACACCAGCGATGGTGGCTGGCTCGGCTTTCTGGACGGATGCTTTCGGAACGGATGCTTGTTGCGCTTTGGCAACATGTTTCAACTGCTCCTGAAGATCATCGATTTGGTCCTGAAGGCTAAGGTTTTGTGCCGCTGCTTCATTGATCTTTTCGGCCATTTCCTTTTTGTAGTTTTCGAACTCTGTTCTCAACTGGATAAACTTGGCCTGTTCAATTGCAGCTTGATCTTCATATTGCTTCTTCGTGGCAGCTATGGCACCCTTTGCATGTTCAACCGTTTGTGCATAGGAGGCTTCGAATTCACTAGTGATACGTTGCCTTTCTTCTGCAATCTTTTGGTCTAGCTCATCACCTCTCTTCCTTTCTTCATTGAGTGCTCCGATTGCTTTGTTCTCTACATCCTGCAACCTTTGCTCATACTCCTGCTCTTGCATTACGGGTCTACTTGACCATTCACTTCGGATTGAGTCAACTACTCCATGCATTATCTGAAGGTGCCTCTGTTCAGCTTCCCTCATGACTTGCAGTGTGTTTCCACTAGTAATCTGAGACATGTTGTTTTGTATGAATGTAAAGTACGCTACAACCGGCTGGAAGATGGTTTCTTCATCCATCGGCACGGAGTCGCCTCCGGCCACATTGGGCACGGCGACATTTGATGGACCTGACCCTGGAACGGCGAGAGGAAGGGCAGTTGAGGTCCCCATAGCAAAGTAGTGAGACTACTACGGCTGATAACCTGTATTTTACCAGGTCAGCCACTAATGGGGTCAAATACAGTTAAAACCGTTAAGCTGCTAGCACTTTTGAACCAACGCTGCATGACAGTCAATGATATATACACTACATGCGGTTTTACTGCAGGAGCTTTTACAGGGATGAAAGATGAATGATGAAACTACAGCACCTCCAAACCATCCAAACTTGTCACTGTCAAAGGATGTCGGGAACATGACATCATGACATGCCGCAGCATTCAGCGATTCTGCGGAGCCCATCCCACACACCAGGCCTTGGCCCCCTCGGCACCAATCTGGTTGAGTCGCAAATCGATGTTCATGACGGACGAGTTTATCTTCAGCGCCTCGGCCAAGGCCTGGAAACGAGGACAGAGCAAGGCTGGCGTCTTCATCCAGGGCTCTACCGTTCAAATCGTGATCACTGAAATCCGGAGAACACATGACATTTAACTCTGACATGTGAATCTCTCTGATACAGAACTTAGCAAACAATGCAGAAAGCGACAGTTGCTTACAGCAACTACAAATTTGACAACTCTCCTTGCGATGAAAGATGAATGATGAAACTACAGGACCTCCAAACCATCCAAACTTGTCACTGTCAAAGGATGTCGAAAACATATGAAAACAGAAGCATTCAGCGGTGGGCTCTACCGTCAAAACCTGATCACTGAAATCCTGAGAACATCTGAGAACAAATTTGTGCAAATATGAAACAATTACATGTAACTCAAACATGTGAATCTCTCTGATGCGAAACTTAGCAAACAATGGCAATCAACCCAGAAATCCGCACTTTCATTCACCATCTACATCATCTACATGTTCGAAGAAGTCTCCTCGATCAACCATGAATGACAAAACTCCAGCACCTCCAAACCATCCAAACTTGTCACTGTCACAGGATGCCGGGAAAGTATGGGAAAGTGACATCATGACATGCCGCAGCATTCAGCGGAGCCCATCCCACACACCAGGCCTTGGCCCCCTCGGCACCAATCGGGTTGTATCCCAAATCGATGTCCGTGACGGAGGCGTTTGTCTTCAGCGCCTCGGCCAAGGCCTGGAAACAGAGACAGATCAAGGCTGGCGTCTTCATCCAGGGCTCTACCGTTCAAATCGTGATCGCTGAAATCCGGAGAACACATGATATTTAACTCTGACATCTGAATCTCTCTGATACAGAACTTAGCAAACAATGCAGAAAGCGACAGTTGCTTACAGCATCTACAAATTTGACAACTCTCCTTGCGATGAAAGATGAATGATGAAACTACAGGACCTCCAAACCATCCAAACTTGTCACTGTCAAAGGATGTCGAAAACATATGAAAACAGAAGCATTCAGCGGTGGGCTCTACCGTCAAAACCTGATCACTGAAATCCTGAGAACATCTGAGAACAAATATATGCAAATATGAAAAAAACATTCAACTCAAACATGTGAATCTCTCTGATGCGAAACTTAGCAAACAATGGCAAGCAACCCAGAAATCCAAACTTTCATTCACCATCTACATCATCTACATGTTCGAAGAAGTCTCCTCGATCAACCACGAATGACAAAACTCCAGCACCTCCAAACCATCCAAACTTGTCACTGTCACAGGATGCCGGGAAAGTATGGGAAAGTGACATCATGACATGCCGCAGCATTCAGCGATCTTGCGGAGCCCATCCCACACACCAGGCCTTGGCGCCCTCGTCGCCAATCAGGTTCCTTGACAAATCGATGTCCGTGACGGACGAGTTTGTCTTCAGCGCCTCGGCCAAGGCCTGGAAACAGAGACAGATCAAGGCTGGCGTCTTCATCCAGGGCTCTACCGTTCAAATCGTGATCACTGAAATCCGGAGAACACATGACATTTAACTCTGACATGTGAATCTCTCTGATACAGAACTTAGCAAACAATGCAGAAAGCGACAGTTGCTTGCAGCATCTACATATTTGACAACTCTCCTTGCGATGAAAGATGAATGATGAAACTACAGCACCTCCAAACCATCCAAACTTGTCACTGTCAAAGGATGTCGGGGACATGACATCATGACATGCCGTAGCATTCAGCGATTCTGCGGAGCCCATCCCACACACCAGGCCTTGGCGCCCACGTCGCCAATCTTGTTGTGTCGCAAATCAATGTTCGTGACGGACGCGTTTGTCTTCAGCGCCTCGGCCAAGGCCTGGAAACAGAGACAGATCAAGGCTGGCGTCTTCATCCAGGGCTCTACCGTTCAAATCGTGATCACTGAAATCCGGAGAACACATGACATTTAACTCTGACATGTGAATCTCTCTGATACAGAACTTAGCAAACAATGCAGAAAGCGACAGTTGCTTGCAGCATCTACATATTTGACAACTCTCCTTGCGATGAAAGATGAATGATGAAACTAGGTACACGCCGCACAGACGGCCGTGGCGTTTCGGTCACTTTTTTCAACTCGCACTGACGTTTGTTCATCAGCACTTCTTGCAAGGAACCTCTGCGTATCTTCGTTTCGTCCAATTTTTTTCAATGTTTCAGGAGACGTTGCAGTGCAGTGAAGAACTGAGTTGGTGACATGGTTCCTTGGTGCTGTCGCCAAGCCCATTGAAACACGAGTTCCGAAACTATTGGAGAAAGAACAGTGTGACCGTCCTTCTTCTGTACAAGGAACGCTACTGTACAAGGAACGCTAACATGCCCCACCCCACCCCACCCCCTGCCCCACATCCTGCAAGCTGCGGAACATCAACAACGTGTGCAACGTACAAGGAACGTTAACATGCCCCACCCCACCCCAGCCCCTGCCCTACATCCTGCAAGCTGCGGAACATCAACAACGTGTGCAACGTACAAGGAACGTTAACATGCCCCACCCCACCCCACCCACAGACCCTCGTGGACGTAGTATCAACCTTGTGCCAAAACCCTGGAAATGGTTGACAAATGGTGAAAGGCACACGGCCGTCTATGCGGCGTGTGCCAACTACAGGACCTCCAAACCATCCAAACTTGTCACTGTCAAAGGATGTCGAAAACATATGAAAACAGAAGCATTCAGCGGTGGGCTCTACCGTCAAAACCTGATCACTGAAATCCTGAGAACATCTGAGAACAAATATGTGCAAATATGAAACAATTACATGTAACTCAAACATGTGAATCTCTCTGATGCGAAACTTAGCAAACAATGGCAATCAACCCAGAAATCCACACTTTCATTCACCATCTACATCATCTACATGTTCGAAGAAGTCTCCTCGATCAACCATGAATGACGAAACTCCAGCACCTCCAAACCATCCAAACTGGTCACTGTCACAGGATGCCGGGAAAGTATGGGAAAGTGACATCATGACATGCCGCCGGCAGCATTCAGCGATTCTGCGGAGCCAATCCCACACACCAGGCCTTGGCCCCCTCGGCACCAATCGGGTTGTATCCCAAATCGATGTCCGTGACGGAGGCGTTTGTCTTCAGCGCCTCGGCCAAGGCCTGGAAACAGAGACAGATCAAGGCTGGCGTCTTCATCCAGGGCTCTACCGTTCAAATCGTGATCACTGAAATCCGGAGAACACATGACATTTAACTCTGACATGTGAATCTCTCTGATACAGAACTTAGCAAACAATGCAGAAAGCGACAGTTGCTTACAGCATCTACAAATTTGACAACTCTCCTTGCGATGAAAGATGAATGATGAAACTACAGGACCTCCAAACCATCCAAACTTGTCACTGTCAAAGGATGTCGAAAACATATGAAAACAGAAGCATTCAGCGGTGGGCTCTACCGTCAAAACCTGATCACTGAAATCCTGAGAACATCTGAGAACAAATATATGCAAATATGAAACAATTACATGTAACTCAAACATGTGAATCTCTCTGATGCGAAACTTAGCAAACAATGGCAATCAACCCAGAAATCCACACTTTCATTCACCATCTACATGTTCGAAGAAGTCTCCTCGATCAACCATGAATGACGAAACTCCAGCACCTCCAAGCCATCCAAACTGGTCACTGTCACAGGATGCCGGGAAAGTATGGGAAAGTGACATCATGACATGCCGCAGCATTCAGCGATTCTGCGGAGCCGATCCCACACACCAGGCCTTGGCACCCTCAGCGCCAATCTCGTTGCCTGCCAAATCAATGTTCGTGACGGGCGAGTTTGTCTTCAGCGCCTCGGCCAAGGCCTGGAAACAGAGACAGATCAAGGTTGGCGTCTTCATCCAGGGCTCTACCGTTCAAATCGTGATCACTGAAATCCGGAGAAACATGACATATCATGACATTTATTTGAGACATTCTCGCTGATACAAAATTTGAAAGAACAACGCAGAAATCCGCAATTTCATTCAGGAGATATCATGTTGACAGATGTCATTCAAACATTCGATTCATAGTCACCAAACTCAATGTAGGAACTTGGATCCTTGGGTCCTCTATGAGAAAGGTTTTGGCTGTTGAGCCCAGCTAAATACCGAAATACGAAAATAAAGCACAGTGTTTTTCAAAGAAACGGCATTGCCCTTTTTTTTGAAACCTGCTTTTCTCATTTTTTCCTACCTGCCAGGTGAGGGATCCCTAGATTTTTACAAAAGTGCAACTTCTCCTCCACTCTCGTCTCCTGCTGCACGTCCGCTACTCCTCTGCCTTCCGCCAGCTCCCGGAACTCACAAATGCCAGCTCAAGTGGAATAATTTCCATCGCCCCAGAAACTTTTGGCGAGCTCCACGGCAGTCTGGGCACGCACGGACCCGAAGCCTGTGGCGAGCCTGAGATCAGGCTGCGCACGCACGGACCCGAACAAATGACACAAAGAATGTCAGATAGGCTGTTAGAATTTATTCCACATGGAATACCGGAAAGAATGCCAGAGAGGAATGTCAGAATAGATGGCAGAAAGGACGTCAGATAGAATGCTAGAATATCTCTATCTAATTTCCCAAACTATGCCAGAATAGATGCCAATAGAATGTCGAAACAGATGCGAGTTTGAGTGTCAAAATTTGCCAGATGATACCAGATGGAATGTCAAAACGAATGTCAGATAAAATGCCAGAATATATGACATATAGACTGCCAGAAAGAATGGGAACGTCACAAAAACAATGATATGTATATGCAAGAGAGAATGTCAGAAAGAATGTCACATAGAATGTCGGGGGTTATTCCAAATAGAATGCCAGAGAGCCCGTCAGAATACATACCAATGATATTTTTAATTTCAGATGCTACGTCCGAAACTATGTCAGAATGACTTGTCAAGGTGGGAATCACACGCAACAAAGTAATTGTTTTAAGGTTGTTCGCACCCCATGAGTGTTGAATGCCATGAGTCGGACAATAGTGGTTTCGTTGTTCTTGCATAAATTGTTTTCTTTTCTCAACACATGTCATTGAATCTTCCAAGGACGATGGATGAAAACGAGTGCGCCATGACATGCACAAAACAGCGTAGAAAACAATACGCTTTAAGCCAGCCATGTTTGCACCAACTTGTCAAAGGTATACTTCTGCCACAGGTGGAATAGGAATCATTCAGAGTGCCACACCTGCCACGCAAAATGACGTCCCTTTCAAACGCGAGAGCACCGCATGAAAGCGAGAGTGCGCTACGATGCACGCCAAATCGAGCTGGGGATACATCGGTGTGCGGTGCCCATTTCCAGACGCTTCCTTGGCTGAGCATACCGTAGCCAACACTTGAACTGTAAAAAACAACTTTCTTCGAGTGTTCTACCTGCCATAAATTCTGACATTCTGTCTGGCATGTGTTTGTGTCCAAGCATGGCGCACTGCATCCGGAGCCGACTGCATCCGGAGCTTGCGATATGGAGTTCTGGTCTAAGAGGGGAAGAAGGAGAAGGAGGAGCAACAAGAAGAGGAAGAAGGAAAAAAGGAGGAATTGCACCTTTGTCAAAATCTAGAGACCCTCACCTGGCAGGTGAGAGAAATCTATCCTAACTGGCCACAATGGTGGCTTTTGCGGAAGACATGTCAAAACAACCTCTTTCGCGGACCTTTCGCGGTGAAAGGCGAAAGCCTGTAGCCCCATGAGAAAGATCCTGTCTGGCATTTGTAATGTCTTTGCCCGCGGTCTCTTCACACACCTCATCCACCCATCAGAGGAGGAGGAAAGGAAGAGGAAAAAAAAGAGAAAATGGAAGGAAGAGAGGAGAAGAAGAGGAAGAGGAAAGGAAATGAGAAGAAGAAAGGAAAAGGACAGGAAGGGGAAAGGGAACGGAAAATAAAAATGGAAAAGGGATGTGATGAAAAGGGAAGGAAAATGAAGGAAATAGGAGAGGAAAGAAAAGAAGAAAGGAAGAAGAAAGGAAGAAGAAAGGACAGGGAAAGGTAGAAAGAAAAACTAAAGGAACAGAAAGAGGGATAGTGAAAGATTTTCACCATAAAAGTGTGGCCACAAACATGGAGACTTTGCAAGGGGCTGGTGGACTTCGCCCGTTGCAGCTTTCGCAGCCATTTCGTGGATCTTTCAATTTCGCAGATTTGTCGCGAAATTCGGGTCCCCAAACCTGCCAATTTTCTACCACGAAATCCTCAGTCTGGAATTTTAGACGGACCCAGCTCAGTCTGAATTTATGCCCGAGTTCAGAAATTCTGGCCGAGGAAAAAAACTAGACTGAGGTGATTTGTTCAAATCTGCAACTTTGCAGCACCAAACAACAAAAAATCGTTCAATCTCAGGGGTTTCATCCAGGAAAACACATCAACAAAGCACCCACTATCGATAGAGGCATCAAACATAAAGCCTCTGGCCATCAGGATTTTGAAGAAACAAACTGGAAGCATGGACAGCTTCCATGCCTCTTGTGAGGGCCTCAAAGGACCACATTTTATACACTTATTTAAATTACAAATCTCACATAACCCTCACACGGGTTTACAGCCAAATCGTCGCGGAGCCTGGTTCATCCATGAAACAACTCTCACCAGTCAGCCAGGACGAGAACGATTGCTAAGTTAAAAAAAAATGGTTCGTTTTTTTCGCCCCATTAGTGGGTTTTTTCCGCCTGATTTCGGGTATTTTTCGCCCGAGTTTTTCAGATGACTAAAGATGCTTCTGGAAAATTGTTGCCCGAGTTTGTCACAAAACAGGCCCTGTCCATATCAACATAAAACACTATAGCCCGTCAGCTCGTCACAGAAAAATCTGGACAACACAGTGCGTCACTCCTATGCCTCTACTGTGCAAAGGACCAAGACATGTTTCCCCACGTTTCTGAGTTGCTTTCCATCATAGGTTGTTCACTCAGATTCTTATTATAAGTAGTTTAGTAGATAGTAGTTCGTAGTAGTGGTTGCGCTAGACTTTAGTAGACACTCGACCCGAGGATGGTCTCGGTCAAGGTGATTTAACATGTTTCAGCTGTGTTTGAGCCAGCCTATATCATCTTAGAATAAGACTAAGTTCACCAGATTTGTGCCTGAATTTGTTAACGCTGCCCGAACTTGTCCTCAGTCTGATTTTCTGCCCGAATTGCATTCAGTCTGATATGTGCCTTCAGTCTTGAAATTGTAGCCCAAGATATTTTCTAGGTATGACATATAGTAGCTTTAAATCGTCAATGAATTTCCCACACGGACAAACCGTTCTTTTTAAACTTTTTTTGCTGGAGTATGCGTTGGACACAATACCGCCCAGACAGGACCTTATGTTGCCCTCCCTCGGAGGGATTTGTACGACACCTTGCCACAGTTTTTTCTTACGCAAGGGCGTGTTGGCCTGTTTTGATCTCCCAAGTATGTTGGGTGCATTGGTGAAGACGAGCTGAAGGTTGAAGCGGAGGATGACGATGAAGGGCCAGACGCATGAACGCAGGCTTGAGTTCTCTGGCGCAGTTGCAGGTGCGCAAAAGAATCTTGGCCTATGGACCTGTGGACTACAAAAATTGTTGTGCAGCTTCCGGGCAGTCATGCCAAAGGCAAACCATGCAAGAAGAAGGTGCGGGTGCACAACTTGCACATACACAGTTGTTTACCGCTTACATGAATCTTAAGAGCTTACCATAAATGCCCTTACGCACCATGCTTACGCAACACATCCTTGACAAACCCCTTATGCCGTACGTCATCTTGCACCAGCCAATATCTTTCTTGCACCAAATGTTCTTATGAAGGGCTCAACCGCACATGAAAAAACAGGGATTGTTGAAAAGAGGCCCCCAAGAATGCCTTGACCATGAGTTCAGAGCTCTTGGCGTCGTCATTGCGGACTGTGAGCATTTGCAATCCACTGGTTGCGAATGCCTTCCATGGGCGCGAGTCGACACATGCACACTGAAGAATGCACAAGACGTTGCATGATCAAGCGATGACAAAGGTCAATGTGCATCAATGTGCCTTTGCAAGGGCTTCAACCTGCTCTTCGTCACATCGAAAGGTTTTCAGCGTCAAGCTTTTCAAGTTCTTGTAGAGTGGCAAAGCATGAGCCAACGCCAGCATCTCTTGGGCTGGAAGGCCTTCCAACTCCAGGTGCTCACACACCGTCACCTTTTCGAAAAAGATCTTCTCTTGCAAACGGATGACGCTTTCCGCATCGGATCTGTGAGTAAAGACCGCCGCTTCCATTTTGGAGCGGAAATTTTCAGGGGTCATCGGGATCGTGCCATTCAGGCGACTGCCATCATCTGAGTGGTTGCTATCATCATTTGAGTGGTCGCCATCATCATCTGAGTGGTCATCGACTCCATCGATTCTTTGGTGCTGGAGATTCACTGTCCTCAGTAGCTGTAATGTCACAGGACTCATTATATGTTGTAAGTACTTGTAAGCAGCGTGCCTTCAAAAAAAAACAAAACATATCAAGATACAACTCATGTACATTCTGAGAGCCAGACCTGAGCGAACTCCATTCCACCTCTGCCATGCACCATCCGCGAGAAAGGTAGGCGTTCCGGTTTGGAAACAAATCCTTCAAGGGTTTGGCTACGACATGCCTCTCGTCCTTGTCATAAACAGGGACAAGTTCCGTCTCGTTGGCCCTCATGCGATTCCAGACATCATCTGGTGTGAGACTTTCGATGCGCGGGGTCAGCGTGTGCTCGTGCGCGTACATCACATGCATATTTTGCATGGCTGCTCCGAAGCTGCTTTTTTCTTCAGGAGAGAACCGCTCAAATTGGAACAACGATGCATAATCATAAAACACCCAAACATCAGCTTTGAAAGCAGCTTCGTACAATACAACACGCTGCACAATCTGCTCCAGCTGATATCTACAAGGATCTGGATGCTCGCGTGTCTCCCAAGCGTGGGGGATCGAGCAGATGATTGCATCACTATTCCCTTCAGCCCAGGTCTGTACTTCCTGGTGGCTCACCAAGGCTGTTTCAGCCTCTTTGGAGTTAGGAGGAACGAAGGTCTTGGACTGGAGTTCTTGGCGACGTGGCAATGGGCATTCGGATCGGACCAAGTCAGTGAGGTACCTGAGTCAATGCATTTGACTTTCGGCAAGTCACCTGCGAAAGAAGTCCCGAACCCTCAGCAAGAACTACAGTAAGATTTGCACCTGGCACGAACCAAACGTACGTCTGCATCGTGGAGGAATTGCGCGAACGCCTTTGCGTCCTTCAAGTCGTATTGAGCCTTGGTCGTAGTTGGTGCCAAGGTGTGCCCAAGAAATGTGGCACACAAGACCATCACAAGACCATCCTCGACCAGGAGAAAAGACGAACAAGAAGCCGCTCACGGAGGTTTAATGACGAGGATAGGATCTTAGGTTGACATGCATGCTGGAATGATTAGGCACAGGGTTGATGGTGGGCAGGCCTCTGCCTCGGCTATCCGAACAATGGCCTTAGGCGCCGGCAACTCAAGCTGGGTTACACCAATCCGATGGATCCCTGGATTCAAATTATGTGAGGTGCAGAAATGGGGAGCTTTAGCATCAAAAAAGGAAAGTAAGAAAAGCCTACAAGGTGCCAGGGTGCCTTCGGATCAATAAAATGGGAGGGGAAAGAGTGGCTCGATGACTGAAGGGATCCTCATCGCCACTGAGCTCGCAGGCTTCGCGCACCCTGCAGGCGACGTCCCGCCTAAGCACCGACTGCATAATAGATCAACGATCCCTTTCCCCTCTCTGCAAACCAAATGCCGAGATGGGACAAAGTTGCAGGAATATTGACTTATAGTTTATACATACTATAAATATTATAAATTATAAGTCAGAACATGTCACACACCATGCCAGGAAGGTACATTGTTTTGATGTTGAAAGATCCACATGAGATGTGAACTGGCAAGAACTGTGTCAATTGTCAGGTGAGCACCACCACTGAGTGTCGTCATGAGTATATCATGAGAGAGTAATGGGAATCTGGGCCGGTATTCGGGCAAGTGTCCCTGGCGCGCTTGGCGCGCTTGGATCGCTTGGTCTGGCAAAGTGATGTGGGGCGGTCTTGGTGCAAGTGTCCCTGGCGCACTTGGGTCGCTTGGCGCGCTTGGCGCGCTTGGCGCGCTTGGCGCGCTTGGCGCGCTTGGCGCGCTTGGGTCGCTTGGCGCGCTTGGCGCGCTTGGGTCGCTTGGCGCGCTTGGCGCGCTTGGGTCGCTTGGGTTGCTTGGGTCGCTTGGCGCGCTTGGGACGCTTGGCGCGCATGGCCGAGTGTGCCGAGTGTGCCGAGTGTGCCGAGTGTGCCGAGTGTGCCGAGTGTGCCGAGTATGCCGAGTGTGCCGAGTGTGCCGAGTGTGCCGAGGTTGCCGAGTGTGCCGAGTGTGCCGAGTGTGCCGAGTGTGCCGAGTGCGTAGTGTGCCGAGTGCGTAGTGTGCCGAGTGCGTAGTGTGCCGAGTGTGCCGAGTGTGCCGAGTGTGCCGAGTGTGCCGAGTGTGCCGAGTCTGCCGAGTGTGCCGAGTGTGCCGAGTGTACCATTGCTATGATAGTGAAATCGAATCCCCCAATGGTGACTGGTTATGATTTCTAGCACCTATGTGGATGGTGTAATGCTACATAGGCATGATTTATTTGTAGCTACATGTTATTAATATCATTTCCGTCCACCTATGGATTAAAAGCATATCATCCAGCTGGAATTCGGGGTGGGATGTCCCCAGCAACCTTGTGGAGGCTCGGGACCAGACTGTCAGTATCCGCACCATCAACAGCATCAAGCGCTCAAGCAACCCCATCAAAATAATCGTCATCATTGTTATCATTATCACGAGAACCATTGCAGTCACAATGATCTATTTGATATTGAAGTTTTTGCACCAGTATCATCACGAAAACATTATTACCACTCATGATCATGATCATTATCAACATCATGATCATCATCACCATCATCACCATCATCATCATCACATCGTTGTGGTTAATGATGGTAATGATAATAGCACAAGATACATTATATAATAATGAGAAAAATGGTCATCAACTAAAAAGCCCTCTGCAAATGTACAATCGAGTTTTGAGCGTGTGCATCACTGAGTCACTTTTTTTTGCGTGTACAGCCGAGGCAGAATTGGTTCTTGATTGTTGTTGTTTGGTAAAGAAAGGTAGGCTTCACTAAAACAGAATGCCAAGAATCTCGATAATGATGATGAAACATGTTGATATACTATGTTTTTTAATGTTGATAGTCCAAAAAAGAACTCATATCTATATTAGAATCATACTGTTAATGGAAGAAATGTTGCACCAATTGGTATATGGTTCATTCCAGTATAATTTCGTTATAGTCCAACTGCTGCAGTGTTTCTTCCATCCACAGTTAATGTTTCCCGTATGACAGCATCGACCTAAGAACTCTCCAACGGTTCAGCCATCTTTGAAGCTGGGATGTCTGCAACGCGTGGCATCAGGTGTGTCTAGACCTTGGCCAAAGACAAAACGGCTGAGGAAACGAACTGCGACGTGGAATCCAAAGCAGCACAGCAAAGTGATTTGTATCTATGCAGGCCATTGCTAGCTTGCTATGCATGAAAATCATGAGACTGCATCAGCGAGAGGTTACCAAAAACTGAGGAATAAACAAGCGAAGATAGGAAGGATCGCACTGAACCATCGTATCTGTTTGATCTTATAGCGTGTATATATTTCTATCTTTTGATGTGTGTGTGCATTTATCGGTAGAAATATGGTATATATCTGGTTTGATTCCACTGGGCTTCCGCACTGCTATCGGATGGTGTGCCTGCAGGCAGAGTCGATTCTTCTGTTGTCACTTGTAGTAAGCTTTCACGGCACAAAATGAAGAATGTTTGGAGGCAGCCGGATTAGAAAGGCAGCCGAATAAGTAAAGAAATACATCCAGGATGGTTTGGAGGGTTAAGTGGTGATGTTCCGAGAAACTGACCAGCGGCCACAGCAGCCTGCCCGAGAGTCAGTGATTGGAGTTGTGCAAGTGGATGAGTCAAGCAATTGATTAAATGGTCTTATATGAGGTTGCAAATGATCTCTGGAGAGGCGAAGCGAATGCAGGGAGATACCCAATCCAATGGTTAGTAGGGTTAGCATGGCAAGTGGATTAGAAGAGCAACTGGTGAAAAAATTAGCTGAGGTTGCAAGCGATTTTTTGAGAGTCAAGTCGAATCTTGGCAGGCTTTGCGAGTCGCAGCGTTGTTCGCTTGGGTCTCCACGGCTCCTGCGTGTGATTTCATTTGTTAAATTATAAAGGCAACACGTGTCTTCATTGTGTATGTATCCGATTATGGTCAATCGAAGAACTGGAAGCATTGTCTGTGAGCTTGGAAAGGAACATTTCCACAAAGCGACAGTGTATGCTTCGGCAAACTGTTTGGCTTCGCAGAATCTTCGATAGATGAAACTGTAAATGCACCTTTGCAGCTGGGATGTCTGCAACGCGTGGTGCAGCTGTGTCTCTAAACCTTGGCCAATCACAAAATGGCTGAGGAAACGAACTGCGATGTGGAATCCAAAGCTGCACAGCAAGGAGTGGTGTCCATGTTTGTGGAACTTTTTCCGGGTTCCAATTCTTATTGTGTGAGACTTCGGGTGGTGTCCCAATGTTTATCGCAAAATTTTGTGTCAAATGGAAAACACGTTTGTCTCAAATGGAAATATATTTTTTATCGAACTGAAATTGAATTTGCGGGAGGGAGATCTATTGGGATGAATCGATTTCTGGAGATCATGATCGATTAAGGCGTCGCAAGCACTGCAGTGGATCAGCTTGCGGGCGCAGTCTCAGATCCTAGTGTCCAATTCTGTAGAAGAGATCTGGGTTTCCGCGCTCGGTTTGGAAAGCTGACCTTCGCAGGTGCTGCAAGACAGGAGAGATGTCTTAAGACATCTGATTTGTTGGAGTTCGTAGTGACAACCTGAATGAGAATGCCTGAAAAAGAGTGAACACACTGAAAATGGCATCTGGCTGCGATTTGAATCTCTGTAGGCGATTGCTAGCTTGCTATGCATGAAAATCACGAGACTGCATCAGCCAGAGTTTGCAAAACGCGAAGAAACAAACAATCACATATAGGAGAGATCGCAGTGAGCCATTTTATGTGTTTGATCGTATAGCGTGTATATATTTCTATCTTTGGTTTGTCTGTAGTAGGAGGAAGATGGTATATATACGGTTTGGTTCCATTGGTCTTGGCTCCCGCACAGCTACCGGATAGGTTGCCTGCGTGCACATTGGATTCTTCGGGTGTCACTTGTAGTAAGCTTAGGCAGCACAAAATGAAGAATGGTCTGCTAACAATTTGGCGCACGACTTTTTGCCATTCTGGTTGCATTGACCTTCGTTGTTTCTTTTGACATGGGTTCTCGCTGTGGAGTTATGTCTGAGCTATGCTCTGACGTTTTCCGTGGAGGTATGTCTGAGCTATGCTCTGACGTTTTCCGTGGAGGTATGTCTGAGCTATGCTCTGACGTTTTCCGTGGAGGTATGTCTGAGCTATGCTCTGACTTTTCATGTGTCTCTCAGTCGTTGATCTGCATGGGTGCTCTGGCTTGGCGTCCGTGAGCAATGCCCGTGGTCCTCTGGGTTTTGGTTTTCTTGCTTGAGGTGCCCCCGTAGAGCCGCTCGATATCAGCTGGGTTCAGATCAAACTTGAATCTCTCGGGGTTGTTGGAAAGGAGGAGACGGCACACATGGCCGCGACTGGAGCAAGCAACGTTGAAGTGCGCACAACAGCTGCGCAAGGCGCGGGTCCGATCTTCACCAGCCAGGCCAGCGACGTCGATGCTCTGTGTCAAACCTTCCAGCAAAAGGTTAATCGCCACTGTGCTGTAGATGGTTCCTTTCACCTCTGCAACTCCTTTTTCTGAGGGCATGCTCAATGGCCAATTTGTGTCTCTGACGTGCCAATTGACGAACCATGGATGTGTGATGTGATTCCAGGTTGTTGCTTTCTGGTTCTTTGCCTGCCAGAGTTTGCCCAGCATCACCGGTACGTCGTGCAAGTCCGTGAGGATGGTAGCCATCTCTTGCCGCTGGTGCTGCAAACAGGATTCGATGAGGTCGGTCACCCGGTCGATGAATCTGGCCATGTCTGAGTTTGTGTTCAGCAGGCTTGCAAGCAATAGGGCGGCGAGCGGCGTGGATCCAACAGGCTGCGCAGCGGCGGCGAGTCGGCTTTCTGCGTCGGCAGTAGCCCAAGTTGGAACTGGTCCTGCGTCAGCCCAGACTCCCTTTGTTTCTTCTGCAGCTTCTTTTTCATACTTCTTGTTGTCTTCTGTGGTTTCTTCTTTCGCTTCTGTGATCGCTGCCTTTTTCTCATGTGTTTCCATTGATTCTTCTGGTTCGTCCCTGTGTTTGTCGAAGTGGCTCCTGACTTCTGGCGGTCCTTGGAAATGAAGCTGTTTCCTTTTGTGGTTCTTGCAGAATTTGCAAACCAAATAGTTTGAGCCATCTGTGGCGATGCGAAGTCCGAGAGGAATGAATCGTCGCAGTTCCGACGGGTCCAGGTCTGCGTACCAAGGCGTTCGGGCTAAGTCGTGAATCTTCTCAATACTTTCTGATGTTAGTTCCATGAAGGCAGGCGGGGCCGAATCCCTGGTATCGCTGCTGGAGCTTGCGGCTGTCTCTGCTGGAGCCAGCGTGCTGCCAGAAGATTTTTCTTGCGCAGTGCAAGCAAGAAGGGCTTCGAGGTGGGTTTTGAAGCCGTGCTTCCATCCCCAAGCACGTGTGCACGCAAAATGCGGCAAGTCGTGCGGCAGCGACATCACATGGCCATCCATAGGCACGGCAATTCCCTGGGCGTCGACCATCTGCTTCTGAGTTGCACCTTCTGTTTTCAAAAGCATCTCTAGGAACAAGAAAATTGGACCATATGTTGGAGTCCAATTCCAGCCGTGCTGCGGCTCGTTCCCGTTGAGGTCATTCTTGATCAGGTTCCAGAGATGTCTGCAGAATAACATGTAACATTTGGATAATTGAGTTTGTCTTGTGTTGCAGCAGTGTCGGATGGCTGCGGTCATGAGCGGATGCATTGGGCTGCAATCCAGAATGCAGCCCTGGAAAATGTGGTCTTTTTTTTGCCCAATGGCTAAAATCAGATGCGGTGTCTGAGCTATGCTCTGCACACCGAAGGCCTGAGCTATGCTCTGGCCCGTCTCTGTAGCATCCCCCTGACGGTAGATGTCGCTGAGCGTTTCTTGGAGGGGTCTCAACAATGCCATCTTGATATCCAAGTAATTGCCGCCACGACGTCCCAAGCGCACGTAGCGCCAAAAGTCGGCCTTGTGTGCTCCACGTTGGAATGTGTTGTATCTGTCAAGGAGGTCTTGCCCCCCCAAAGAGAAAATGTCAGTGGCGCAGCCATTATCCGGGACGAATTCCCGAGTCAAATGGGGAGCAAATCGGGACTTGTTCTCTGCAGCCTGGTCGTGGTCCTCTGTGTTGGTTTGAAATAGCAGAGGCGGAGGCTGTCGCAGGCAATGGCAATAGACTGCGAAATCTACCTTCTCACTGCTGTGCTGAAACACAGCTACCTTGAAGCTCTTCCAGTCCTGAGCGTCACACAGGTGGCGAAGGGCCAGCATCTCGTCTATGTGTTCTTTTTCACTCACATTCCAGCCCGCGCACACCAGCACTGGGAAGCGCTCAGCGGGGAAGTCTTGCAATGCGACTTGGACAACTGTTTGCATCGCTGTTGATGCCACGGCTGCCTTGAAGTGCAAGGTCCTGCCTTTGTAAGCTTCTGGAGCAATGTGCATGATCGGTGTTTTTGTTTCCGGCACCTGCCATTGGTCGCGGCCGTGTTCCAATGCGTCATAAGAACGCTGTGGGACCGAGTCTCTTGCAGGGACTGCCTTGCAGCAGACGGCAGCGTCTTGGTGCAAGAAGTCTAGATTTTCTTTGATCCAGTTGGACAGCAAGGTCAGTATGCTCGGGCCTGAGGTTCCCTTTCTAATCAAGCTGCCTCCGCAACTTATGAAGGCAATCGTTTCCTGGACCACCTCCACACCGTTGCCGGAGACAGCCCGCGAAGGTAGCCATCCATAAGCTGTGGAGTCTGACAGCAGAAACCTTTTGGCCATGGCGGAGCAATGCTTGGGGTCTTTGTGGGAAAGAGTGCGGCATACCATTTGTTGCTTTGTTTGCTTGTGCGAAGTGTGTCTTTTGCTTTGTTTGTTATGTGTCCTGTCATGTTTGCATGTGTGTAGCATGCAGCATATCAGGTAATGTAGCATGTGGCATGTTTGAAGGTGTGTCCGGTGTGTATCAGCTGAGCAAGTCTTCGCCTGCTGTTTCTCTGAAAAATAAGGTGGCAACGGCATACATCACGTCAATCAGAAGCAAGGCTCAACTGCGCGATAATGTATGCCAGCATTCATCATTTCTGGGACACTGCTGCCTGGAGAAAGTGGAAGGTGTTCGTCAAATGCGCAC